AGATTAGGTGGAGCTAACTGAGACGTGTGGAGCTTTCTTTTGTTCAAGCTTTTCCTTTTTCTTCCTCTTTCGTCGTTCTTCTTCCTGGAGCTCGGATTTCTTCACCGAGGTAAGGGAAGCTAGGCTTTTGCTGATTTTGGTTGAGAATGAGTCTTAAAAACTCATTAGTTGCTTGATGATGGATGATTAATGGCTGAGATTGAAGAAAATTCATTTTTGGCTTTTCGGGGTTTCGGGTGAAATTTGGGTTTTTCTTGTTTGATGGTTGCATGTTGAAAAGGTGATGTTTTTGAGCTGTTTGGGGAAAGTGTGGCATTTTGGCTGGTTTTCATGTGAAATTTTTGGTTGTTTGTGCAGGTTTTGAGGAAGATTTTCGAAGTTGGAGGGTTCCTGATTGAGAGCACGCCAGGCGTAGTTCTTGGCGCCGGGCGCGTGACCATCAGAGGGCTCCATTGGTCGAGCACGCCGGGCGCAAGGTTGTATGCGCCGTGCGAGCTTGAAGATGGATGCCCCTGGATGGTTCACGTCGGGCGTGGTTGGACCATGCTGGGCGCGCTATCAGTTAGTGACCCACTCTAATTCTGGTGTGGTGCTGGGCATGACAACGTCTCGCCGGGCATGGAGACTCCTTGGGAGTCTCTACTAGGGGTGGCGCCGGGAGCAATTGTTATTGCACCGGGTGTGAGACCTTGGGGAGGTCTTTGTCTACCCTGCGCCGAGCGCAGGTTTGGCACGCTAGGCGTGTGAGACCTTTTGAGGTCTCTGCCTCCTAGCACGTCAGGCGCAATGGGAATTGCGCCGAGCACGTTTGAGCCCTGATGCTCTTTGGTTGGGTCACGCCGGGCACGACCATGAGTGCGCCGGGCGAGGATGAGATGTTGATCTATATACTGTTATATGCTGATATAGGGTGTGAATTGCTGATAAATGTTGATATATGCTGAGCTGAGCTGTAATTGATGAATATTGTCGTGCTGTTAGATGATAATGCTGAATTATAACATGTTGTTATTATTGTTATGTTGTGCTGTGTTGCATGCTGATATAAACTATTGTAGGTCGTAAGGCTGAGTTGTTATAGGCCGTAAGGCTGAACTGTTGTGGGCCGTAAGGCTGAGCTGTTGTGGGTCGTAAGGCTGAGCTGTTGTAGGTCGTAAGGCTCAGCTGTTGTAGGCTGTAAGGCTGAACTGTTGATCACTAAGACTAGAGGAGATGTTTTTCGAAATTTCTCATCCCATTGTGTGGATTGGGGTAGCTGTGGTGCTCGTAGAGCCCAATTTGTTGAAAACCCTCCCTGGAAAGCTGACCCTTTGAGTGATCACTATGTTGTTCTCCTCTAAGTTCTTAGTGGTTTCGTATGTGGGCAAGGTCGAGGCACACGTGTACAAAGCGACCACGGTATAGGGGCAAGGTCGAGCTATACCGATTATAAAGCGACCACGGTATAGGGGCAAGGTCGAGCTATACCGCTTACAAGCGACCAATTCTAGCTGATATGTGTGACGACACATTGTGTGTTTACTGCTGTTTATGTTGTATATGTGATGAGTTGTATGTTGATGATGTGCTGATAGCTATAGCTGTTTACCATTCATGTATTTATATATATGTATGTTGATTCTTTTCACTAGCTTACCCTTTGTTATTTCCATGTGGTTTGGACTGCAATGATCATACTATGTATGGGAGCAAAGCAGGGTCAGGTTGATGAATTGAGGCAGGTCTGCAGCTGGCAGATGGAACTTATGCTTTTTGATGATTTTGCTATCTTAGCTTTTTAGTGTAGCACTACTGGGTATATTTTGTATACTCTGACTCTTAGCCTCAGATTGGACCTTGTGTATATATTTTAGTTGTTTATATATATATATATACTTGCTCTTTTCTATGTGGTGCTGTGGTGTTGTACCGTGTGTGGTGATCAGCCAGGTCGTTATAGTTACAATTACTCTTTATATATAACTATATTTTAGTTTGTCACAGACTAAATATTTATTATGTATAATTAAAATTTATAATAAATTACGTATACAAACAATACATTTTAAATATATAAAATATATTAAAAATTTATATAAATGTATTTTAAAATTATTTTGAAAATGTTAAATTTTAATTCATAAAAAGTATAGTAAATAAAAAAAAATTGAATTTAATAAAAAATTAAAAATTTTCTAAAAATCTCTCGTATAAACCTATAAATGTTTTTGCGTAAAATAATCTTTCATATTCAATATATATGAATTCATATTTTTAAAATAAATAAATCATATAAATAATCTTTCAAATATTAAAAGTTACGCCAAGTAATTTTTGAATGTTAATAAATACATTAATATAGGGAATAAATTGATATATATTTAATATTTTGTGAATTATTAAAATGATTTATTATTTTAAAGACTATTAAAAAAGAAATACTAATGTCAGGTTAATAATGAGAAGTTAGAATAGATATATGAGAATATACATTTAATCCTCATTTTTATCATTATGAAAAGAAAAATATTTAAAAGAAAGAATACCATAATTATGTATAGATTATTTTATTCCCCTCCCCCTAATAAAACTCCGTGGCATGTGGTCCCATTTTCACATCTCATACAACTCCTTTTACATTCAGAAGATTTCAATGCTATAGTCTCTTCTGGCTGGCTTTGTCAGAAACTAGAACAAACATTGGACTTTATGTTTCCTCCTATTAATTTCTCTTTAATTTTATGTCCTTCAAGAAGAAGAGGAAAAAATGCTTCAATATGTTTATATATAT